AAATATTGCTTATTTCCAAATTTCTTCCCGCAATTGTCACATAAGTAATCTTTACAATCAAGATGGTCTGTATTTTTTTGACTGATCAAATCTGATTTTATTCCAAATTTCTTCTTACGCTCATCAAAGGTGAAATGTTTACGATCCTCGTGGACTGCTTTTATGTGCACGAGCAAACTATGTTTATTTCCAAATTTTTTCGCGCACTTTTCACATAAGTAATCTTTACAACGAAGATGGACTTTCTTCTTACGTTCATCAAAGCTGAAATGTTTGCGACCCTCGTGTACTGTCTTTAAGTGGGCAAGTAAACTATGTTTATTTCCAAATCTTTTCGCGCGGATTTCACATAAGTAATCTTTGAAAACTTCATGGAATATTTTTGTGTGCTTGAGTAAAGTTGATTTATTCTCAAATTTTCTGTCACACTTGTTGCATGTAAAATTTTCGTGGTCTTTGTGTTCTAATTTTTTGTGCGTGAACAAACTCGATTTTTTCAGAAATTTCTTCACACACTGGTCACATGTAAAATATTTACAGGCTTTGTGCACTGATATTTGGTGCCTACTCAAACGACTTCGAAACTCAAATTTCTTCTCGCACTTGTCGCATGTAAAGTCTTTTTGTTCATTGTGAATTGCGTCTCGATGAGCTACCATGCTTGATTCTAGTGTAAATTCCTGTTGACAAATATTACAAACGTAGTTTTGGTCGCCCGAAATTACAATGTCAGGTTCACTTGAATTATTTTTCGTGATAATTTCGATTTCTTCTCACTTTTATTCATTTTGGTACCTAATTTAAACAAGTAAAATGTATCTTTTGGTACTATGACTTGTTTCATCGAGAAAGACAATACTTGAACTGATTTGTTTACACTATAAACATGATCAATGTGTCGAGCGACTTCGTCAAAATCGTCCGTGATCACGTTATTTACCATTAAGTTACCAATGTATATCTTTTTACACTGTTAGTACAATATTTGAACTAGTTTAGAGTTAGGATGTCTGAGTTAATTTCAAGTTAGTATTTTTAAATGGGTAACGATTTTCTCAAGGGAGTTTTTTCGGCCTTTTTAAACTTGGTGCTTCAAAAAAACTCCCAAAAATATCGAGTAAATAGATTCTTATGCACATAGAGTAAATGCACAGGGTAAACCCATTACCGTGGGTCTGCCTATCATCGCGGATATATTAAATTATCGCGTTTAATCAATTTTTAACGATAAATTATTCCCAAAATATTCCTATTTGCTCTTTTGATGGAAATCTATTGACTGCTAAAAAAAAATGGGTTTTTCGAAAGATTTTTCTATTTTTAATTAATTCAAAAATGTTCGGTCAAATTTCAGCCGAAACAGTGCAAAAAGTTGTAAAATATGACTTTACGTTTAGACGTTATTTTAACTATTTTTTTGACAGAAAAGCTATCGCATAATATTGCTAGCAGGTAGTAGATACTTAAAATATTACATTATATTTGTCAAAAATCAAATATCCTTCTGGAAATAATTTTAATTTCGGTCACGGTGATGCACACATGACTTTATGCGCAAGCGCCCATTACCGTGGGTCAAATGCACTGTAAACATAACTTTTTTTTAAAGATTACTGCGGCGTTTTAGCTTTTGACTGATGTGATTCTAGCCTACCTATTTATTGACTGATTGAAAGATATAACAAGTCGATAAAATGTCAAAAAAGAAATTGAATTGTTCAGTTCAAACTTTATTTTTATAATAAATCTTATTTTTTCACCGTTGACGATTGATTCCACTTTTTTGATACCTACGATAATTCATACACGGTAATATGCACATCCGCGATAACACAGGCACGATAATAGTTGCAGGCTCACGGAAAGGCCCACATTTACCTTTTTTTTATAAATTGAATTTTAGTTATTATTGTACACTAATAAATGAAATTTGAATGCACCATTGCATAAAGATTTGTTTATTCTTCAAGTGAAAAGTAAAAAAACCTATAAGAAAGTAGTTTTTTTTTAACTTATGGCTGCGCTAACGCGAGTTGAAAATAACTCCACGGTACATTTACCCTATATTACAAAAAAAATTTTAATATTTATTTCGAAATTTGCTGGCTCCGCACCACATGGTGATCCATAATCTGCCACAAGCGCTGTGCGCATACCCGAATTCAGGGAAAATTCAAACATACGAATGTTTTCAAATACTTGACTATTTCTCGAGCGCTGAAGTCTTCTTGGAAACTCAAATATTTTCAAGAATACAATCTTTTTCGGTACCCGCCTTTTTTCGAATATTTGATCTATTTCAATTGTACTGTAGTATAATATTTTTTTAATGAACATATTTTTGATGCGTGTGTAAATAAGGTGCCATGGTGAAGAATAAAAGATCTTTTGTGCCTATCAATAAAATAAAACGAAACTCATATTTTCATAAATTAATTTTTTTGAATGTTATTAAAATCTCCAACATTATACAAAATTATAGACATAAAAAAATATTGCAAATATGCTCATCAACATTGCGAGCTTTGGTCTGCAGCTGCCAAGCAAATGTGATATAAATCTTCGTTCATTAAATGTCCAAGGATCATCTCACAGCACTCCAATGGCAATCTGCAGCCTATCAGCATACAGAAATGATCCAATGCCTGGGATCGGAAAAATCTTCTCGACATGGTCTCGCACATATGCAAAGCACTAGCATCTCGATGCTTCTTGGAAAGTAACAAAAATTTCCTCCTGTAGTAATGCACGAAGTTGAAGTAGTCCGAGTATGGGAATAGTTTCGTCACCTGTTGCGGTGGCAATCGAATAACGTCGTAGAACGATAATTTCGAATTTACAGTCCATTCTTTCGCTACTTTGGCAAACTCCTCGTTGTCGTACCAACGTTCGTCGAGTTTGAACGATTTCTCGAACAATTTGTGTTGAGCGAATAATTTCATGATCTTCAAGACGATGCTATGGTCCAACTCGTAGCCTCTCCTCTCGAAAGTAGCAACGATGGCCGGAGCGCCGATCGCGAGCCTCAATCCAAAATCGCCACTTTCGCTAAACTGCAGCGGAACTCCCTTGAAAAAATAACTGTCGTCGGGAAAAATGAAGCTGGACAGATCGGCGCCACGGTCCAAGAGCATATCGACCGCATCCGGCAAAAGTCTCGCCACGGCCAATTGCAACGGTGTCCGACCCAACTTGTCCTTGACGTCGATCCGCACCGGCCGATGGCTCGCGTCGTTGATTCGAAATAGCATCTTCATCGAGTAATTATTGGGATACATCCTGCTTACGGTGTGCAGCGGAGTCAAACCATCCTCATTGGCAAAGTTCGGATCGGCGCCGAGTCTCAGCAGCAGCTCGACCATGTCCTTGTTCCTGTTTACCAGAGCTATCTGCAGCGGAGTGTCGACCGAGTTCGCGTTCGGATCTCGAGGAGGACAAATGGGACAATTGGGATCCTGGCCGAGCTCGAGGAATTTCTTAACGATGTCCTTCAAGTTAAACTTACAGGCGACATGGAAGTGGGTGAGGCCGAACTCCTCGTCGAAGTAATTCACGTCGAATCGATTATAAATTCGAAAAAGCCGACGAACTAGAGCAGCCTTGTGAGGTAACCAGTATCTAACCACGCAATGCACGGGTGTGGTGCGACGCGACGACGGTCTGCCGTCCTCATCGAGTTCGGGCTGGTCCTTGTAACCGGTGCGAGCCACGAATCTGATAACACGATCTCCTGGATTATCATTCCAAACTTTACCTCTGTACTTTATGGAATCCAAGAGAAGACGCTCGATTTCTCCATCGCGAAAAATATCTCGGAGATCGGGAAGCTGTTCCTGCCAATTTCTGATCAACTCGTCGAGTTTGAGAATAAAATCCTTTCGTTCTTCCTCGATCTCCCAATTGACACTTTCGCGTAAGCTCTTTAATTTTTCCGAATTCGCGGACATTGTTTCGCGCTCACTCACACACTGTGCACGATTGTTTATTACTTGAGATCTTTTTTAACTTTTTTCAAGAGAATCACTTTTCAATAACATCGGCGGTGTTCGCGTTGCGGCGACTTCGTGTGTACTGACTCATATACACGCAGTAAGATGTATATAGAGAGAATACAATTCACGCGCTAATAGAGAAAGTAATAGATCGAGATGTACATATAAAGTGGGAGTCATTGAATTTGGTAAAAATTAGAAAGTGTTAATTCAAGGCGTGTATAAGAAACACGGAAAAAAATTTTGAGCTACTGACTCCGTTGATCGAACAATGGTAATAATGACATAGCACATGGCGATGCATAATATCGCCGCATCTCACTGGACTTGTACACTTTCTTATTTCGCCCGAATTCGATGTAGGCAAGGTATACGATTTTATATACTCAGTGGCTTACGCTTAGAGGCTCAAGAGATGAGAATAGTCACTTTACAGCATGATACTTACAGTTTAATACGTATTTCAATTCATTTCTTATGCTTTAAACGGGTTTTTTTAGTTTATTCGGGTACACACAATTACCCGAATCGATTTTTATCGACGATTCTGTAAATTTGCCTTCAACGGCGAAGTTACAGCTTGCCTCGCAAATGCGATCGCGACCGTTTTCCAGCTGCAGTTCCGATTATATAAAGACGCGCAGCTGCAGCTGAAAATAAAATGCAACGACTCGGCGAGGTGAAAAATCAATATAGGTGCACAGCTGACCTGTCTCGCTCTCTCTCTCTCTCTCTCTCTCTCTTTTCTCTTTCTCTTGCCTGATCGTCTAGAGCAATTGCCATTCAAATCTATCGCCACGCTACATCCAGTCGTATTGGGAGATTTTACGTTTTCTCGATACAACACCGACGCGTCTTGGAGGCGGCGCTTCTGTGCCGCCGGATGCGCGTCGGGATCGATTCGTAGAATAAAAAAAACAAAAGAAGGCATAGCAGAGTCGAAAAAAATACACTACACGCGACTATTGAAAATGTACCTGATTATCGTACGCTTTGTTTTTTTTTCAGGCGGAGCCAGCGCTGATGTACGACAGCGTGCAGGCGTTCGCCGTTGGTCTGCGCACCCTCGAGCACTCGCACTCGCTGCGCCCGATGAACATATCCTGCGAGCTCGAGCATCCCTGGGACGGCGGACTATCCCTCATCAACTACATCAACTCGGTACGTTATAATGCATTTAACAACGACAGCAGCATTTTTTTAAAATATGCATATTTTACACTCGCACGAATACACGCGTGTGCGCGTGTCACGTAAAATTGCCAATGACAGCTGCTGCTACTGGCAGGGATCTACGAACGATTGAATTTCTTTTCGGGCATGATCGAGCAATCGCGCCGCATCTCGTTTCCGCGCGAGAGACAGCTCGCGATCGCGCGTCATTGCACTTTTAGCGCGTGTATACGCACGATGCGTATTAAGAATCAGAATCCCGTGGATGCGCCAGTCAAAAGCAGAGACCCGCTCGCGAAACGAAAGAAACACTCGTGTCCCGTGCAATGTACGTACGCAGTACGTGACTTTTTGCGTACTACGAGCTGCGAGAAAATCGCAACGGCGCAGAGGCAGCCGCGCGGAACGCTATGCGCGCGGAAAAACACCCGGCAGCCAAATAGTTTTAATACACCGCGAGAAAAGCTGTTACGTACGTGCGTCGTATTATATTATAAATATTAGAGACGTACAACGTGTGTAATGTGTGCGCGTACGTTGCGTCGTTGTTGCCGTGCGTGTGTACTTTTATACGAGCGAAACGTTTTAAACGTGTATACGATGCGAAGCAAAGTCGCGAGTTTTCCCTGTGCGACGTCAAGGATTGTTATGTACAGTATGGGTGGCATCGTAATGCATAAAGCCTCCTTTTTTTTTGTCCTCGCGCACTCACGAGTGCAGGAACATTTAGATACACGAGCGATTCTATGAAAAGTCTTTAAAGCTCGAGGCTTCGATTGCGATTGAAATTTTAGTTAGCTCGGCGTTGGTAATTGTTTTTTTTTAACCATGAAATATGGAAAATATAGAGATTTTGATGAGTATTTTGTTTAAGGCCATTTTTTCTTCAATAGGGCGAAAAATTTGCGTGTTTCTGGAAAATAATCATTTCGTGTTTAATATTGCCAAAATTATATTTTAAATAACTCGACAAGGAAGAATGAAATAAAAAGCATTGGAAATCATTACAGAAATTCGTGTGAATTTTTTCAGAATTTTTTTAATCGCTTTAGGAATTTGGTTTAAGACTTTTTATTTAAAGTACACCTAAAAAGGTTGACATTTTTCACAGTCAACTGATAATAGTTAAAAATAATCTATGTACTGTGTTTATGTGTTTATTGAGATAATTCGCGTTTGAAAATGATTTGTGGCAAATCTTACATTTGAAGTCTTTGCTCTGATAATGTACTGTCATTGAATGCCTTTTGAGGTGACCTTTTTGTGCAAATGCTTCATGACAAAGTTCATATTTGAAGGGTTTGCTGCGTTCATGTTCTGTTACAATATGTTCTTTAAGTTTCGTCTGATTTCCAAATGATTTGTGACAAATTTCACAATCAACTGATATGCTACGTAAATATTCTGGATTCATGTGAACTTTTAAACTTTGATCATGAAAGGTAGTTTTATGAGCTGCAAGAACACCCCTGTGATTAAATGATTTGTCACAAATCTCACATTTAAAGGGTTTGATCCGACTATGTACTACATTTATACGAGTTTCGAGGTTCTTTTTTACTTCAAATAATTTGTGACAAATGACTTTTTTTAGAGTATCCTCACATTCAAGTGATATCTTTTGATCATGAAATGTATTTTTATGAGCTACGAGAACATTTTTGCAGTTGAATGATTTGTCATAATTCTTACATTCATAGGATTTGTTACAACCATGGATTGACTCTAAATGAGCTTTCAGGTTACTTTCTTGCCCAAACTCTTTGTGACTAATATCACAATTTAATGATTTGCTACAACCGTGTACTGTATACAGGTGATTCTTGAGGTGATCCTTGCTGCTAAATGACTGGTCGCATATCACACACTCAAATGATTTGCTACAATCATGTACAGCATCAATGTGAGATTTGAGTCTAAACTCGTATTCAAATGATTGATGACAAATTTCGCATTCGAAAGATTTACCACTATGCACTACACTTATGTGGTCAGTGAGGTAATCCTCACAGCTGAATGAACTACGACAAACATCACATTTGAAGGGTTTATTGACTTCCGACGAGTCCAGCAAATCGAATTTACAACTGTCGCCTGCATCTGGACGAGTATCGCTAGGCTCTTCCTTCACCCTGTAGAATAATTTAGTTTGATTAAGTGATCGCTTCAAAAGCTATCGTGACGTGTACAGAAAATATCTTACCTCACTGTGCTTCCATGGCTTTTCATCACTCCTCGACTCGATTAAAATTTATTTCCAATAAATTTTCACGATGTGCACCGAGAAAATATTTGAGGTTATGCACTTCGAATAGCCGACGCTACACCTCTTTTTTTGCACGACCTGTACCACCCTTGAACTCTTTCACTGTTAACGTTTGTAAAGACCTGCTCGACTATACTCAACGGTCAACACTACTGCTTACACTGTTCACTAGCTAAATATAGGAATTAGGAACTCAACACTTTGTTAGCGACTAAACGCATTGGTCGATATTTTTGCGAGGTATTTCCGTCGCGCTTGCGATAGTTCCGTGAAGACAACCCCTTCCACTGTCAACCGTGTCCAAACGCAATTATGCCGTATTAGTGTGTCGCTTCGTATTCTGTAACTTGCCAGAGGAAGCGCGAAGCGCGCTCCTCAATGTAGTGCATACTTACATCTGCAAATAGATTTCGCAAGAAATACTCGAGTGACAAGTGGAAGAGATGCTCGTTTTGTTTTCAAGCGAGCGAATATGCATGAGAAATTTTATTAAAATCATCGATGTTCGTACACGCGTCAAGTGACAAAAATACCAATGGCATTTTTAGCTTCGAATTATGAAATTATTCGTGTATGTGTTCCTGTGTGCGTATGAGAACATACGCAAAAGTAGTAAATTAAAGGAAATTGGACATGAAATTAATTTCTCACTCAGAACATCGTCGTCGTCTTCGTCGTCACTGAAATATCATAATTATGGTAATGCTCGAGTATACGCGCTCACGTGTACACGCAAGTCTACGCACGCCCTGATAGTTGCATGGGCATATTAAGATTCGTTAGTTCTGTCTGTCTCTCTCTTTCTGACATCCAATGACAATGATAAATTACGCAGCCGCAACACTTTTATGCTCGTGAATTTTGATGTATTACGGTTTACACGTAATTATTTCTCCGTATAACTCGGATAGAAATTGGGGTTTGGAGGCCGCGCGCGATATATGACAAACGTTTAGCGCACAGGTAGACTCCCCCGAGTCGAGAGAATAATTATCGTCTCGGTAGCTCCACTACACGACGATGATTAAGGCTATACGTAGTACACACAGATGCATTTCAAGTCAATCGCGCGGCCGCCGTGCGCTAATTAATCGAAAACGCGATAACACCATCTCGTGGAGCAGCAGCAGCCGAGGTTTCAGAGAGCAAAAAGGAGTGACGTAGAGAGAGACAGAGAAATGTGTTCTATACACGTTATCTGCTTTGAATTCAAGACAGGCTTTTCCTTATATATACACCATATATATGTGGTACTTCTTTGCCCTCGCGCGCGCGTGGATATACACATTTGCTCGCGCGAGTCAATTTCCATCTCCTCGCTCCTCTTTTTTTTTCACTCTCTGCCGCTAGTCGCTGCTTTTCTTCATATACATATAAACAGAGCGCGAGAACTGTTTTTCTTCTTATATGGGTACATCGAGCGTATACACAAATCTCGTTACTTTACCTCTCTCGCTCGCAAAAAAAAAATTGAATCTTTTCCTCCGCCCCGAATGCCTTTCTCTCTCTCTCACTCGAGCTGGATCTATCGCACGCGCAAATGTAAAAGGTATATTTATACAATATGTATGTATAGTAGGCGTATATATACGACGAAAAAAAAAACAGTCGATGCAATGCTTCGCGAGTAGCGTATTTATTTTATATAATCGTATATTATATGTGAGCGCGCGCGTCGAACGTTAATGGACGGCTCATCACGGCGCGCAACGGCACACACGGGCCAGGCTTAATTGAAGCGAGTACGAGAAGTAATTGCCATGTGAAAACGGTAACGTATACTGCACCGAGAGCATTATTATACACATAGCTCTGTGTATAGACACCCATCCTTCTCTCGATGCAATAATACCTCGCGATTACATATATACATAACGCGATTATTCGACCTTTCGTAATACGCGTACAGTCGAATGTTGGTTTAATAAATCGTAAATTCAAACGTAAAAGCTTTTCGAATTCACTCGCACGCGACGGACGACTTCATTATCAGAATCGCAAGTGGTTTTTATCATCAACCGCGCGTATATGAACCAAAAAGCGCGTCTTGTCCCGTACTCTCTCCACGAGCCCTCGGCCCTTTCGTTCATCAAAAGTTTGTCCTGACACACTGTGCTATACACACACGCGCGAGCTTCTCTCTCTTTTTACATGCTCGTACACGCGGTGCTGCCGACCCCCGCAAGAAGTTGGTCCGAACTGGAGCAGCTCTCTCGTCGAGTTGCCTTAGCAGTACTGTACCACACACCGCAAAGGAAGAGGAGCTTCGTCGCTTCCAACTTACGTATTACACATATAGCTCTCGGCGCATCGGACTTGTAATTTACGCTATGCTCGCGCGATCGCCTCGTGTGTGTGTGTGTACGTGTAATCCAACAGCAGCTCGACTTTGTTTCGCCCTTTTGTCCCGATCCTCTAGCTGGACAGATTAATTGCTCTGTATTTTACACAATTGCCCCAGCGCAACGTTAAAAGTTTCGTGTAATATAATTACCCTCGGCTGCGAAAAAAAGGCGCGCAGCAGCTATCCGGTAACAAGACTCGCGAGCTGACAAAGTTGCTGACACTTACTTTTTGCCGCTTTATATATAGATCGCGGCCAATTGAACCTCGTTCTTTTTTTGCCATTTTAAAAATAGGAATTATGCCAATTGAGTCTCTCTCTGTGTCTCGTTCGCAGGTGGAAATGAAAGGACTATCCGGTCCGATTGAATTCAAAGAGGGCCGCAGGATACAGTTCAAGCTGGACCTGCTCAAGCTGAAGCAGCACTCGCTCGTGAAGGTGGGCGAGTGGAGGCCCGGCCTGGGCATCAACGTCACCGATCGCACGGCCTTCTTCGAGCCGGGCTTGACCAACGTCACTCTGGTGGTCATCACGATTTTGGTAAGATGGCTCAATTTTCCCTCATATTCGTTCAGGAGACCTTTATCCCTTTTTAGTGATATAATATACTGTTGCGGCGCGCGTTAACGTCTCTCTCTTATTAAACTCTCTTTCTCTATTTCTATATCGTTATGGATTTTGTACGCGGAATCGGTTCTATTTTTGACGCGCTTAAATAATTAATATATCAAATACATCAAAATTATGGCTGTCCGTTTATAGCCTGCTATAAATTCAAATCGAATCAGGTCGCACATCAACTCTCAGCAAACATATATACATCTCGACGCATTCAATGTTTGTTTCGTATTAAATCGTCTCAATCTCTCACCTTTTCTCTCTCTCATCCTCTTTCTCTATCTGCTTATAAAATATCATTTTTTAATTACTTTTTTTCTACATTTTTGTTGTCGTTTCGTTGCTGCACTAACGCTATACAATAAATAACATCTCCAACGAAATGTCAAAAACCAAAAAAAAAAATTATTGTCATTAATCACACGCAAAAAACTGAGATCCAAAGTATAAAAAAAAAAACAAACTGGCAGGAAACACCGTACGTGATGATGCACCGCGACAAGAAGCACACGGGCAATTCACGCTTTTACGGTTTTTGCGTCGATCTGCTCGAGATGGTGGCGCAGAAGCTCGGCTTCGCTTACGAGCTGGAGCTCGTGCCCGACCAGAAGTACGGGGCTCCCGACCCCGTGACCGGCGAGTGGAACGGCATGGTCCGGGAGCTCATGCGACATGTACGCATGTGATATACAAAAGTTTTTCTCTTTCTTCTTATTTTTTTTTTTTTTTCGTTTTTGCCTTTGCGCCCTTTGTATTGAAAACAAAAAATTCATCCGTAATTATGGGATTTTTCTGTACTTATATATTTGCACCGTTTTTTGATGAAATCAAAGCTTTTTGAATAGTGTACATAATATGATATCACTTTTGTCACGTTTCCATTTAGTGTACATAGGCTACGATCAACGATTATTAACATCATAATAATAGATATAGAACATAAAATAGCTAAGAGAAATTTTTCCTCTTTCCATTCATAATATAATAAGCGAGCGCACCTGCATTTTTATCACGCACCCTTTTGTACATAATTACATCTCTCTCTCTCTCTCTTTCTTATATACATTTTATGTCTTCGATTTGAATTATATAGCTTATCTCAGTCGCATAGCTGTACAAAATTGAGCTTTTTTTACTATACTACTCTACTACTTATATTATAAATATTACATTACATTTTTGCCGTCTGTTTTTTGAGCTTTTTTATATATAATTACATAAATAACTCTTCTTCCCTCTCGGAACTTTTTGCATACTTATACAAAACCTCCCGCGAGTACTACAATCCCCTCTCAGAAAAAAAACGAACAACCAAAAAAACGAAAGAAAAAAAAACGACACGCCCGTATAATAATTAGGAACAGCCGTACGTAATGCTGCGGACGCGCGGCAATCACAGCGGTAACGATCACTACGAGGGTTTCTGCATCGATCTGCTCAAGGAAATAGCGCGTATGGTTGGTTTCACCTACAAAATCGAGCTCGTGCCAGACGGCAAGTACGGCGTGTATAACTACGAGACCGGCGAGTGGAACGGCATCGTCAGGCAGCTCATGGATAAGGTAAGTCGACTCGACTTGCTCGAGGGCCGACCTCCTCTCTCCATCACACACACACACACAGTGGCTGCTGCTGCAGAATTACGTCTCATTCTCCTCCTCTCTTTGTCGCTTTTTTCATTCTCATTCCATGGCTCATTTTTATAGCTTTCATCGTCGTCTCTTTTTCGCGTATACAATTATTATTGTTTTATATCACATATAATAATAATACGTCAACGATGTGGTGCATAATGTGTATACACGTTTGACGATGGGGGAGAGGATAAATAATGGAAAAGTGAAAATTTCAGTAAAATTGTACATCCTCGCGTGCTGCGCTCAGAGAGCGAAAGAGCAAGAGAGCGAGAGAGGAGGGCTCGGCCAGAAAGTTCGTTAGCGCAAAGTTGGCCGCTTTGAAGCGCGCGCGCGCGCCGAGCCTTTTCAATTAAAACTTTCAATATATAAACGTGTGCGTTAGCCGAGGCACACGATGGTTTAAAATGTTATCTGCTCTCTTTCACGCTTGAAACCATAATCGAATGAAACATATTTCGATGTGCATTCTGCTGCTGCTGCCTTTTTCTGTGGCGGGAGAGGGACGCGGGTGAAAAATATAATAAAACTTTCTGCGGCGAGCAAAGCTCTCTTCTCTCTCCCTCTCCGTCTATCCCTGGTGAATTAAACAAAAGGCCAAAACATCTTCGTTAGAGTCACTTTCACCCGCAAGGAGCCTTGCAAATAACCATGCCAAATTTGAATTCGCCACCTCTCTCTTTCTCTCTAGGCAGCAGCTCTCCGCAAGATGAAGACTATGCAAATTCTGCCGTGAAATTGAGTCTATGTATGTACGAAGGTGTGTTTATGTGTGCGCTTATTGGTGTCAGTGTGTGCAAGTGTGTGTGTTGCCTACAAAGCTGCGGTGAGAGATCGAAATATATATATCTATGTACGCTTATACACACCTCGAGCTCTGCTGCTACTGCTGCTGCTGATGATGATGATGATGGCGATGGCGCGCGGAGGATTATTTCCGATTGACGCTCTGCGAAAGCTCATTTGCTGCTACCCCCTATTCCCGTTCCCAACCCTCTCGCTCTGATATTGGTCTATGTTACAGGTATACGTGTGTATATATTGAGAATGTGCGAGAGATATATCCTGCATCGTATGAAATAATTATTATGTTTGTTTTCCCGCCCGTTTGTGCGAATATTTAATTGAAAAACAAATGGAACTACACACACGTATATTATTTGCCTGCAGAGTGTTTTTATTTTTATATTTATATCGTATATTGCGAACGATCGCCTACAAATTTTATACACATAGCTTTATGCAGAAATATTTGATTGAAAACTCAATTGTACATATCTAAACACATAATATTTTTTAGCTATATATATTACTTTATAAATCTGGCATGCTTAGAGTTTTTTTCGATATCATTATATTGTAATTTATAATAGGCTAATTTGTAAAATACGCTTACTACCCCCCTGTAAATTCTTAGTAATCACATTTATATCCACATATCGATACCTTACAATCTCAAGTCTTGGGAGCAAGAATTTGGTCAAAATACTGATCATTGTATTTTTAATTGGTCGAGTATAGAAGGCTGATCTGGCGGTCGGCTCGATGACGATAAACTACGCACGCGAGAGCGTCATCGACTTTACCAAGCCATTCATGAACCTCGGCATATCCATCCTGTTCAAGGTACATTATGCACTTTTCATAAAATTATTGCTCATTCGCTCATTTGGAGCACTTAATTTTCAGGTACCGACTCGACATCAAGCTCGGCTCTTCTCCTTCATGAACCCTCTAGCCATCGAGATCTGGCTCTACGTCCTCGCCGCCTACATCCTCGTCTCGGTGACGATGTTCGTCGTGGCGCGCTTCAGCCCCTACGAGTGGAACAATCCTCACCCCTGTCACAGCCAGGGTCCCGTGGAAATAGTGGAGAATCAGTTCTCGCTCGCGAACAGCTTCTGGTTCACGATTGGGACTTTGATGCAGCAGGGCAGCGATCTCAATCCCAAGGCTACGAGCACTCGTATCGTCAGCGGTGTCTGGTGGTTCTTCACCCTCATCATCATCGCCTCGTACACTGCCAATCTGGCGGCTTTTCTCACGGTCGAGCGCATGATCACGCCGATCGAGAACGCCGAGGACTTGGCCGGACAGACGGATATATCTTACGGGACTTTGGACAGCGGCAGCACCATGACCTTCTTCCGCGACTCGATGATCGAGACCTACAAGAAGATGTGGCGCTTCATGGAGAATCGCAAGCCGTCGGTCTTCGTGCCGACCTACGAGGAGGGCATCAAGCGCGTGCTGCAGGGCAACTACGCCTTCCTCATGGAGTCCACCATGCTGGACTACATCGTCCAGCGGGACTGCAACCTGACGCAGATCGGCGGCCTACTCGACAGCAAGGGCTACGGCATCGCCACCCCCATGGGCTCGCCGTGGCGCGACAAGATCTCCCTGGCCATACTCGAGCTGCAGGAGAAGGGCGAGATACAGATACTGTACGACAAGTGGTGGAAGAGCCCGAGCGACACCTGCATGAGGAACGACAAGGGCAAGGAGAGCAAGGCCAATGCCCTCGGCGTCGATAACATTGGTCGGTAGCTTCGTGTACAATTGTATGTAACAAACGATCCAATTCTGTCTCTAATTGCAGGGGGTATCTTCGTGGTTTTGCTCTGTGGCCTGACGTTCGCCACGCTCATAGCCATCTTCGAATTCTGCTACAATTCCAAAAGAAACGCACCGCCGGAAAGCGTAAGTATTTCGATCGAGCATCTCTGAATACTTCATTCTGTTTAGTCGTCTTTATAGGGCATGGTTTTTATTACTTTATAATAAATTATTATATACCCTGGAATGCTGCATGTTTAATATCGTTTTATTTGTTTGGATTTTCTTTCACCTGTGTTTTTAGTTTGAACTGAACGAGTATTGAGCCGACTATTTATTAGCGCGATGTCGAGTCGACGAACAGGTAATAATTTATTAGATTTATGTCTTATGCTATAAAATTTTATCGTAGAAATTATATCGTTCAACCGACCCACTGAAAAATTTTCCATTACTAACAATCGAATGAAATTTAAAACAGGAACACGCGAGCCCGATACCAGGCACCACGTCGTGCTCGGGTTCCCTGCAGGGCATCTCTCAGGTAATCGATGCGCAGCAGCAGCAACAAGAGGTCGCCGAGCTGCAGCAACAGGAGCAGGAGTCCCTGTGCTCGGAGATGGCTCGTGAATTCTGCCGAGCCATGCGCTGCTTCGGCGGTGGCGCCGGAGGAGGCAGTGGCAGCAGCCGAGCCGCGCGCCGGCGCAAAAAGAAGCAGAAGGACAGCTGCGAAAAGTGCTCGACCCACGTGCCAGGCTACCCCGTCGACACCTCCACTCCTATACCGATCAATGGCGTTCGATCGCAGGTGAGCGCAGTGACTCAATGACATTTTTCACCAGGAAAATAATATTTCTCGTTTTTCGTTCCGCAGAGAAGTAGCCTGGGAATGGAGGGATCGCCTCACATACACATGCATCGGCAAACACCCTCGCCGGATTACGAGAATTAGAGGAGATCGTCACGCGATTGTTACGGAAAAGATTTAAAACTATATTATCCTTCAAGAAATCGAGAAAAAAAAATTAACATATATTAAATGTTGTTTAATTATAAATACATGTCTGCACACGAATTATCGATGCAATACCGATAAAGGTGAGAAACCGCTACCAGGTTGAAAAATTTTAAATTTCCATAACTCGACTTCTGTGCTGAATATTTTTCGCTTAATGGTGTACCCCCTCAAAGACCGTTACAACAGATGTCATTATATAGAGCCGTTGTTATGCGAGCCAAAATATTCAGTATACGAGTCTCAGAAAACTGGTTTTGAAAATTTTCATTTTTACACCCTGTCGTGTCTCGCGGCATTCTCTCTTAGTATAAAAAAATCACGATATAAAAATGTGCGCGTATTCGAGAGACCGCGTGCGTGATATATAATGTTGAAAAAAACGAGATTGGTGTGAACGTTTTTTTTTACCCGAAACAAGAAATAATTACGTTTTATCTAATTATGATGTAACTGCGAATCGTATGTCAATTTTTTCAACGATCAGAGGAGGACGATGAAAATCCGAGGCTGTCAATTGGCACCGAATTATTATATATGCTAGCCGATATTGTAATAGACAATTATTATTAAATATTAAATTTTCATTGAACTTATTCATTGTAGTTTTCCTTCTTTTACCTCAATGATATCTATACGTACATTTTGCAATCTTTTTTAACACCAGTCGATAAAGCAAACACCTACAACCTGTGGGAAGTAATCATTATATATTTTCTTTTTTTTTTTTTTTTTAACAAGTATAAAATCTCACTGAGCCAATAAGTCATGAGATATTTATTGAGTCTTTACTTATCGACGTGAAAAATGTTTACCTGTATTGATAATAAAGAACAGAGTGGATATTGACATTTTTATATAACATCATTTATTAAGGGATAAAATAAATGATTAATAACATATCACTTATATATGAAACTATAACATTTCTTAAAGTGTTCATTATTAATTTACGATATAAAAGAAATCACATCACATATACAACCCTCCCCACACATGGCGATGGTCACACTTCGCTCAAAGCGTCAGCGAAGAAAAACTTATACGAGAAACATTATTACAATTAATAATTAAAAAATATAAAAAAATAATACAAAATCACACTGCGTAGCTTTTACATAATGATTCAATATATACGTGTTTTTTATCTATATCTTCTCGCGCTCTCTCGGTGTCGAGTTCGTACTAGCGAACTCGCGCGTTCACCGATGAGCGGCTATACAATAATAAACGCAACGGAGATGTTGAGTTTTGTTACTTAGGCGCAAGAAGCGACAAATTACAATATATAAGTATACTTCACAATAAATATTAGACGATTTTTTTGTTTCTTTATAATTCATACAGAAAAGAGAGAGGGAATAAAGTCTTCGATCCCTAACGCTTCGAACCAGTATTACAACGAACCAATCATGTCTTTTTGCCCTCTCGTACAGTTTTTAATTTATGTATTTTGTTTTCGTTCTCATCGTTTCACTTCGTCATACATAATATATATCCTTTTTTTTACATATATATTCATCAATGATCTTCAAAAGGGCCAAGTCAAATAGGTTGAATTTTTTATTATTGTACGCAATATGATCATTCAATAACACTTCTGTGACTTTTTGAAATTAAATAGTTTTTCTTTTTTCTTTTTTTATATATAAACGATGCATTTAACTCAAGCAACGTATCTATTATTTTTCATATATGCTCTTCATGTTAATAACATTGTTTTATATCTTTAAGATCTAAGTCTGTGTTTTTTTTATTCTCATTGTTTCTCATTCGCGAATTCGAAGATATAATCTCACATCTTTGACTATGTTTTTTTTCTTCTCAAGAACATCATTATCATCATTTTTCTGCTCTCTTCATTTTATATTTAAATCATCATATATCAAACGTAATTTCTCGCGGTACACGGCATTCACATTCATATAATCTGTTTTAAATTATGGTGAATAATAATTAAAATTATTATTAAGGTAATTATCGAAATGAATTAATAAAAAAAAAGACGCGGGTGTGAGATGTGATACACATATAAAGCTTTCTTGTATACATATATCGCTTGTTTTTTGAGTCCGTTTAAACTAAACTCATTTCTCTAAAAAACTAACTGTATCAACCCGGGGGATTTTTGTTTTCCACTACGAGATTATTTAATATAAATTTAATATTAACACGAGAGACGACAATGGTAAAAAAATCTGAACGTTAATCAAACGAAACATTTGTTTAATATAACGTCAAGGCAACCTCAAGAATTATTTATCCTTCGTATGCAAATATATAATTTTTTCGTTATGTATCACCATCGTGTCGCATAGCAAACAAACAGGCTCAACTGATTTTTGTGTTTTCGTAAAATTATAAATTGTCGAACGAGAAGAAAACAACGTATAAAATTGCGCCTATACTTATCGAAATGGCCTTTCCGAGAAAAAAAATCATCGACGGCAGAGTTATCAGTTCTGCAGTCGACGGCCATTTTACAGACAGCAAACGATATCGTGTTTCGATGTCAGCCGCGCGCGCGCGCGTGTGCATATACACACAGAGTCGCGTAAACACATAATACAATTTTTTTTTCTCTCTTCGTCGAGAAAGAAACGTACACGTCTGCAATGCTCTATTGGCGTCGAAGACATTACAATTGGTAAAAATTCGCAACCGATTCTCTTCGTTTCCTCGGATATAATAATAAAATATATTCAGTAATGGTTTATACACAGAGTAAACGCACTTATATTGTAAACATTATTAATAATGATAATGACAGAAGGTCTCGAAACTTTCAGGCGTGATGAAAAGAGCAAAATCGCTAACGACCATTTATATTGTGAACCTCGACTTTTTTTCGCACTCTTTGAGATCGCTCAGCAGAGATTCGCAAATGTCTTTTTCTGCCTCGCGCCCAGTTTCGTACACTCGCGAAGACGACGGACGAGACGAGGCTGTAAAAAAAAATAATAAAAAGAAGACCATTTACGAATCTCTGGCCCACTTGGTTTACATATTAATCCGTAATATGTCATACTAAAATTCATTAAAAACTTAAATAATAGATAATAGCCGACGAATTCTCCGTTGGCTGTGATTAACAGAGTTGCGATGAATATTGCGAAGGTTATTTCTTTCGTTGGTCAAGCGATTGTCGCGCATGTACGTTTGTAATGAAATTGAAGACACGAAAAAATGACAGACTCTGACGCGATAGAGGAAGTGAAGAATAATTGGTTTTTCATACACTCTCATTCTCATTCTCCTTAATTCTCTCGTACTCTCTATCAATACTTTCCAGCGAAATATGACAATGAAATGGAGTTATTTATACAAAACATTATGAAGCGATGCACTTAGTAAGGCGGCGATTTAATATATTAATTATATAATATATATTTAAAAAAAAAGAATCGTTACGTTCAATGTAACTAATATGTTTGAATTCTATATAATTTTGGTTTAACACAGCATGACATTTTTCTTTAACATTAGTTATAATCTTATTGATTTAGATCAGACAGCACTGTTTTTCTTTACTGTTGAATCAGATTTTTCGATTGTTACAATTTCATTTCGCAGAAAAATGCACTAACGATTTTTTTGAGACTTGTGAGAAACTCTTGAATTTTGAAATTCGAATGTGCGCGAAGCAGGTATCGTTTTTATTAATATTATTATTATCATTATTTGTCTTGCGTCAACTCCTGTAGTTTTTGATATGTCAGTACAGTTAAGGAGTCGGGTTGAATTAGTCAAAAATACTTTTCATCAGTTTGCTTTAATTCACTTGCTGTCTAATATTTGAGGTTTGGTCGATTGTATTTTTTTTTAATTTTTGTTTCTCCCGCTGCCTAGACGTTCAACTAGGTTTTGCATATTGTTTTACTTCAAAGGCTGTATTTTTGAAACGGGTACTGTATAGGAAGATTATTTTTTATATCGATATTTTATCGTTAAATTTTTTCCCGAAATTGAATGATACATTCGCGTGAAACACTGAACTATACGAGGGCTCAAACACCACACACATCCAGCCACTATATCATAGTAATTTTCCAAATAATTTTTTGCTTTCACGCGAGCTAATACAAACAGAACATTATTGTTTAATTCATTATATTTTCATCAGTTCATTACCAAATCATATACACACATATACTTTCAAATATATTTTAATTTAATTAAAATTGAAATTTACTCATTTGTGTATTCTTTGCTTACTACCATATAGAGAGTAATGATTATTTACATTGTTTATATATAACTAGCTAGATTATTTGTAATTACATTAAATTTGATTTGATAAAACAGCCTTTACTTCGTTACAACCACTTATATTTTTCAAAAGTTGGTCATTTCATTTCATTACAAACAAATGACGTTGTTAACGTGAATATATTAAAAAATTTGCTTGGCTTATTTTCGAATTTACAATTTAATTTAGAGACGTACTTTAAATGTACGTCGTGATAAAAAAGTATCTAATCTTCATAAAAATAATTCAAGAATAAAAATTTATTGAACTTCAAATTAATTAATTTCATAGAGAATAACTTTCAAAACTCAAGACTTTCTCATCCATATATAGAAATTTCATTTTCGATTAGGAGACTTTGACAATTATTGACTTTTCAATTATACGAAACGTCATATCATTTTGTTTGAATGATGAAGGATATTTATAATATTAAATGTGTAAATACGTTAAATATATATGTACTACGAAAGTTCAAAGTCGACGCGACAAGTAATTCCCTTCGACCGAAATCACTTGTATTATGTTCGTTTGTTCGTTTTAATTAATTTTTTCCACCCGTGATTTTAGTCCAAGATTCAAAGTATCACAACTTGTCTTTATTATGATTAAACATAGATAATAATAATAATTTTTTTCATCGCATATTTAATTTCTTTGCATTTTTATCTCACTTTGAAATTTTAAAAAATTAAACTTATTACACGAATTTGATTCAGTTTAAAACGATTTAAGTTAGTAAAAACATAAACGAAATCCAATGTGTATTGATCATCAATCAACATGGCTCTCACATTCTTATACGCGAAATTTTTTTAAATCACATGAAAATTAGCTTAGCTTGTTTTTGTTTTTAATAAAAATGTATTATAATTACGTGCTAAAAATTTTCAAAATCACTTTTTTGTTTGTTTTCTCTTAAAATATAAAAAAATTTGAAATTCCTAATTTGAATGATCGAAACGAAATTTGATAAAGTATTTACAAAGTCCTACGCACAATTTTCTCTTTCTCAATATTCATTTTGTTAGAAGAATTAAAATTAGAAAAAAAACTACTACATGCTCTCCTGTATTCACTCACGCATACTCATCGTCATCGTCACGCACACACTTATACATACAAACTCCAGAAAATCGAATATATCCAAATGACGGAGAAAAGACGTCGCACACACACAGGGCCTGCAGACGAATTTTCCACAAAACAGCAGACGCTCTCCTTCGAAATAAAAGCCAGTACACGGAATAATATTATATATTACACACGATGTTGATGTTGTTTCTTTCTTTTTTCAGCGTGACCTCTGTTGTATTTGATGTATCCCTTTTTTTTCTCAGCTTGCTTCGCACGCGCTCGCATTCTCTCTAGCTCGCGTTCTCAATTATAATGGCGGTGCGATTTACGGATTGCGGGTGCACGTAGTTATGTCATGTAGCGCATCACAGCTCTCAGAGCGTACAGCAGCTCGGCTTGCATCCTCGCCTCCAGTATCATCAGGCACACGTGAACCTGCGATCATGAATCGTCAAGGTGAAAAAAATTGCCTCCACATATAAAGCTACATAAAAAAAAAAAAAAAATACATCTAAAAAAATAGCGTGTCTCGTGTCCTTACCTTTTCGCTGTGCTTGAACTCCCTCATGACGCGATCGTAGTCGCGCTTGGTCACTCGCTCGGGATAGCAGACGGCGCTCTTGATGAAGGTCTTGAGGCTGCGCTCCAGCAGCTGGTTCACCTCGTTGTAGTCGTAGTCGTCGTGCCTGATGCCGAACATGCACTGTATGTAGTTCCAGATCGCCCGGCGGAAGCGCGACGTGTCGACCCGACTGTGCGTGCCCATGGTGTAGTAGGTCAGATTGTAGGCCGTCTTGAACTTGTCGTCGAGCAGATTGCCGACGTCGTTGTAGAGCCGATTCACCAGGGAGTAGCCGTGGTCGTCCCAGCTGTAGTCCTGCACGCGGAAGGTCGGGATGTCGTTGAGCTGACCGCGCTTGGCGAAGTCCTGGTAGATGAAGGTGGGGTCCTCGATGAACTGGCCGATCTCGGCGTCGAGCAGCTGGAAGCCGTTGCGCTGGGGCGCCGCGGCGAGCTCGGCCGACTGCGTCTCCACCGTCTCGAAGCGTTTCGACAGCTCCTCCTGGGTGATCTGGCTCGACTCGGACTTCTCCGACAGGCGCTTCATGCGCTCCATGAGGGTCTCCACGCCGACCTCCTGCTCGCCGACGATGCTTGGCGAGGCAGGTGGCGACGGCATGGTCTTGTCCTGCTGCTGTTGTTGTTGTTGCGAGGACTGCTGTGGCTGCTGAGGCTGCTGAGGCTGCTGTGGCTGTTGCTGGACCGGCTTGGGACTGACGAGGCTCAGCGGTATATGGTGCTTGGGACTGCTGTTGCGACTGCCGATGACGCTGAAATTACTGTGGATCAAAATCCTTTCCGGTTGCTGTGGCGGCTGCTGCTTGTTGGCTTGGACGTTCTCCTTGTAGTTATGTCCCATTGTGTTGTCCAATTCCTCGTTGATGCCGCAGGCGAAGACGAACGACGACAGCGAGTGGAAATGTGCCAGCAGCACGATCGCGTGCACGACCTCGGCTAACGACCAGTTGTCCGCTCCTTTTGTCAGTTTCTGCATACACAGACACACACATACATACGTGCATAAGTAACAAATCAATTCGTATGAAGTGCATGTCGCTCGCTCTCTCTCTCGTGCGCTGCATTATGCACGTTATTAAAATTATTATACTACTACTAATACCATGGACGTACCTCGATGTGAGTTTTGTTGAGCAGCCAAGGCCTGTGCGCGAGGATCTTGTTGATTTCGTAGAGGTCCTGGAGCTTGGTGGGTATCGATCTGAGGCCCTGCAGCCAGTTCTCGTTGCCGCCTTGGTGCAGAAATTCCGTCTTTTGAAGATTGATCAGATAGCTACATTGATGCCTACCAGCGGCCTGCGCGTGACAAAAAGCAGAGAAAAATCCATGATGAAATTTCATTAATCAGCGAAAAAAATTTTTTCAACATTTTTTCCTCGTTTTACTATTATAATAATCGCGCGTGCTCGACGTCGAATCCCTAGGGGGGCTTTATCGGACAGTCGATAGATAGTACATGCGAAATTCTCTCATTGATCGAGTACTCGCGCGCGAGCCGATAAAAAAATTTGTAAAAAAAAAAAGTTCGACGGGGGAATAAAAGCATCGTCGTCGCTGGTATTATAGAAGTTGTGTGTATGTGGATGACAAAATAATCGTGTGTGTGTGCCACGCAGTTATCGAACACGAAATAGTTCACGACTCGTGTGCGTGAGTGTGCAATATCTATAGGCTAGAGGGGTGGTGGTGGTGCAGCAGCGGACTGTACTCGATCGAAACAAAAAAAGTTTGTCAACGTTAATAATAGACCGTAGGCTAGACAGAGAGACGTTTTTTTCGCGCGATCTCTGACCCGCCACGCGTACGTTGTACGTGTGCACGACGATGACTCCGTTCGAAATTTGCAAAATAGAGAGACAATACGAACTTTTGCGCGACTATATGGAGGAGAAAGTTTACGTCGTGTTGTTTCGCGTACACTTACCATTATAGCAATGAGATGTCTGTAATCGTAGGGCAGAGGTCCGTCGCCCCGGGTGATGAAGTTCTGCGTCCTGAGAAAGTGCTCGAGATAGGTCGGATGCGACGACATGACTCGCGACACGTGATCCAGCCTGTTGTTCTGCAGGAACGCGTCCATCAGCAGCATGTGCGTCTGCAAGCAGAAAGAAAAACAGACATTTCGCCATTAAAAACAATGAATCTCACTCTCGACTCCTTATAATGCATGTGGGATATAGTATGTATAATATATATGTAGGTATATAAGACACAAGTCGTGTGTATGTGTCTGCTTTTTTGGTAATCCGATCTCGGCGCAAGGACACTTACACACACACCGAAAGTCGTCGTCGTCGTCGTCTCATCGCGTGCGTACATACATTATGAGACAAGAAACGGAAACACCTACATACATGCATACGCGTACGTACACGCTTTAAGCTAGCTCTAGAGCTCTGGCCAACACGGCGTGTCTCTCTATCTTCTCTCTGTCTCTCTGTGCGCGCGCGAGTATTTTATATATGTATGTATGCAAGTGTCTTCGTGTGTATCCGTATGTGTGTGTGCGTCAAGTGCAATTCAAAGTCGAATCACTCGGTACGCGCGGGCGCGTGTATGTATGTATATGTAACTACACTGTTGCTGCTGCTGCTCTCCTTTTTACACATAAAGAGCAACAATGTATGCGCGAGCGAGGCCTCGAGACGAGGCAGCAACTCTTCGCTAACTACTACCCGTTTTTTTTCCTTCTTTTTCTCGAAAAAAAAGGGAATAATTCCAAGTCCGTATTTACATACAAATACCCTTACCATCGCTGCGGTGTGTGAATCTGCAGCCGAATCGGGAGACTACTTTTTTCTCTCTCGCAGTTTTAATGCAATATATAATAACGTGTAGCGCGCGGCACTCTAAGTAACTATACGCGATGACGCTCGCAAATCGAATCGCGCCGACTGATATAAATTTTAACACTTAGCATAACGTTTAGATATTCATTCGCGCGCGCGATCGAGTAATTCAGGTTTTTTTTGCGCACGCTCCATAGTGTGGTACCTCCATGTACACACTCGTCGTGCTTCACACATTGAAATACACACATTAATAAAACGCAACACACCTCGCATTGTCGCGCGGGAGTCTATGATAGATAAAAAAAAAAGAATTAAGTCGCGGCTTCCAACGCCGTCGCAATCAGGTGTTTGTATTGCATCAGCTTATTAATCCCCCTCGCGATGCACTGGCCGTCTTTCTATATACTATACAAGAAAAGCTTCTTAATTTTTCCGAAACTTCGAGTACGAACGCGTATCCGACTAACTGCGGGCACAGGCGCGATATTTGTCGTCGTCGTCGTCCCGTTCGACGATCTTCTGTCTCTTCTTCTTTCTCTCTCGCTCCCTCGTCAACTTGTCTGTTTACACGTTATATTCAGGTATATACGAGAGAGGCTACTGTCGTACGCATGTGTTGACTCGTGTCTTAAAACGATGTCAAAACTTTCAATCCTCCTCCTCCTCCTCCATCTCTCCACTTCTTTCTTCTCTTTTTTTTCGCAAGTAGTCGACTACGACTCATTGTTATTCTTTATACGACCCAGGACGAACGACGACGACGACGACGACGACTACGGTATAGTAGTATAGGTACGAAACTGTTTTTTAATAATAAATCACTGAAGCCTCGCGCTGCACTGCAACTTTCACACAGCGAGAGAGAGAGAGAGAGAGAGAGAGACGGCCGATATCAATTCAGCACGAGCGATAAACTCTATATAAACGCCGATATGTTATATCACATGTATGAAACATTAATCAAGATTCGCCCGGTGCACACATGTGTGCCTGTGTGTATACGTGTGTGTCATGAATAATTGATGAGCCGTACGTGTCAATTACATACATATATTCGTCCCAGAAAAAGGAGAGCTTTTGCGCTCGTGCGCGCGCGAGCATCGACACACAAAAAAACAGATAATAATAAATAAAATAAAGAGGAAGAAAAAAAGAAGAAGGTACTAGAGCTCCAAATCGTATATAATTAGTTTTTCGACTCGAGCGAGAGGAGAGATCGGACCCCGCAAAGACCAGTAGCTATTCCGTATATATTTATCGCCCATCATCATCATCATCATCATCATCATCGCCGCAGCGTGCAACGCAACACAACTCGAAAGCGAAGAAAAGAAACCGGTTTTTTCGCCGGAGAGCCGAAAATAATCCTGCAAGAGGTACAAAATCACCGTGTCTAATTAATCATCCCCGCACACATATACACGCACAAAAATATTGTTCCCTGTGCTATGCTCCTCCTCCTCCTCCTCCTTCTTCGTCATCATCATCTTACTTCTTCGTTCGTTCTCGTCTTCTTCTTCTCCGGCCTTTTTTTCCAATTTGCCAAGTTTCAAGGTTGAACTACATTTCGCCCAACGCGCGCGTGATTAATGTCGAATACATATTATATACTGTATGTGCAATCTTCGTGACCTTGAAAAATGATAATCGGTGCAGTCGCAGAGCCCCGAGTCTCAATAATATCGGCGAAATTTTGCACGGCGTATCGAGCGTGCGTCGATTGGAGCTCGATGAGTCGACTCTGTGAGGACAAGCCGTCTACTGCATTTGTGCACGCTTTGACGAGTATGTCATATGTATGTATGTGTGCTAGGCTTCCGCATTTTTGTATCATCTATTATTCGGTGTATTCTTTTTTTTTCTTATGACTCATTGCTCGCACATTCGACTGTGTGCGATAAGTGTCTGCACGCGCGTTTATTAACATAAAAGCGCGCGGCGGTCTCTTATAAATACGAGCTTGCACGCAGTGTATCGATTTTCATTCAGCCGAGTAATAAGAGAGACGGAGAGAAACAAAATTTTCTTTTCGTCGTCGTAGTCGATCGTTGACGGTACTTTGTTTATTATTATTGCTTGCTCGCTTGCTTGTGCTTGCGCTGTGAACGAGCTCGAATCTCGAGTACGCGGAGGAGGAGCAGCAGCAGCAGCTTCAATTATATACGAGCTCATCAGGGTGGAATAATGAGCGCAGAGCGTATATGTGTGCGCGCTAGAGACTGACGTCGCTGAACATCGTCGTATACAGCATATAGTCGAGCTGGAAATCTCATTTTCCGATTGCCGGCGTACTCTATAAACGGAGCTCGCAGTGCAGCACAGCGCACAATCGATCTCTATTATACATCTCGTCTAATATCAATGAGAAAATATGCTGCTGATGCCGCTGCTGCCGCTGATGTGCTTCATTGGCGCGTCTCTCGGGATGTAGTATAGCGGTATATGTAATCGACCTTTTATTCCGGTGGTTCGATGCTGCTGCTGCTTCTGCTCTGGTGTGTACACTACTCGCACACACACTAACTGCGAAAATTTGGCCCTGAGCCCAAATTCGAATAAACTTGTGTGCTGTGCTTCTGCTGCTCTTATGCGCACGCGGCCCGTAAAAGGGAACAAAAACAACAACAGCGTCGACGACGACGACGACGACTTGTGGCCAGGAGGAGGCGCGCATAAATACGTTGTTGTGTACGTACCGGGCCGGGTCATGAAAATTTAATGAGAAATATACATTGTAGCATTATAAGCGCAACAACGAGACACGAAAAAGTTTCGAACCCGTGCCGCATATATACACTCCTCTTCTCTCCTCTCTCTCTCTCTCTCTCTATTCTTGCGGAGTATTATGTGCTACGATGTTGCAGCAATGCGTTGTGCGGAGCATCTCGCCCCGAAGGGAATACGGAATAATAAAGTATGCACCGTAATGGTTGCACAAGCCCTCGGAGGCAGTATTAGACGACCAAGAGCGACGACAAAAAATCTCAACTACGATGTTCGATGTATTAATTATATCCTCTCGTATCGTCCGATCGCTCCTTTTTCCACTTCGTCGTTACACGCTTAAATCTTGACTCGTCTCCTCGAAATTATTATTCGCGTTATAAAACGCGAATATGGGCTTGGAAAAAATATAATCACTGTACAAAGTTGTGTGTCGCACGGAGAGAAGAAAAAAGAAGAGAGATAGAGAGACGAATTCAACGCGAAAAAAAGGAGGAACGTTTAAGTTAATAATAAAAGCTGCTGAGCGCAGCAGCACGTTCACTCGCACGCGACGTGTACACACATACACGTACAATATTATAAGCGCAGCGCTGCTGCTGCTGTTGCTGACATAATCAACGAATATATACAACGTATAATATGCTACGCACACAGTGTGTAAGCGTTTGTGTGTATCTGTATGTGTCTGTGTGTGGGAATTATAAATTGCTTAATTAGAAAATTAAAACAATATGCTGCACGTTTATGTTGACACGAGAGCCTTACAAATTGGTCACGTTGATTTATCTAAAAGCTTCTCGGAGCATTGTTATCCGATTGTTTCGAGACTTTTTGTCTTTTTTTTCATCATTTTTTTTTTAACTCGACGACGATGATGATTTTTTGGGAGTGGATGTGTTTTTTCCCCTTTATATCGAAGCGTACGCGCGTTGAATTATTAACGAGTCACAGTAGCGCAGTTGATTTTTTTTTACTTATCGATGCATCATAGAAAAAATATGTCACGCTCGCGCGAGTGCGCGCCTCGATTCGAGGCAAAGCTATTAGATATAAAAAAGAAAACAAAGTCACATTGTATCTTCTGCGTTCGCACAGTACAGCACACGCAGAGTGAGTGATTTCTAGTTTTTCGATCGATCCCTGAATCTCTCTGCTGCTGCCGAGGTCGGGAAGCAGAAGTTTTGCGTGCGACGCACGGCGTGAAAAACATTAAAAAAAAAAGCTCGAGAAAGAGCAGCAGCAGCAGCAGCAGCGTCAGACAAAGGAACCCGCGGCGTCCCTTGCGCGCCCTTAAAACGAACCTATTTTCGAGAACTTAATGCATTTATAGTACCGTGTAGTACATGTGCCGCGAGAGCAAACAGATGTCTTTCGATGCGTCGTTTTTTTCCATCCTCTTTTGCGCGCAGAAAGCGAAGAACGTCATGTGTTGTAAATTACACAAGAAACCATGGCTGCTGCTGCTGTTTCTTCTTTTCTTTTTCCTTTCGCGAAGTAAACAAGCGTGAAGCAGGAAGTTATTTCGGGATTTTTAGCATACGCATTATAGTTAAAAACACGTGACACGCGCAGCAGC